CTCCTCCGCCTCCCCCCCCCCCCTCCTCCTCCTTATCATCCTTCCTCCTCCCCCCTCCGTCCTCCCTCGCTCCTTCCTCCCTCGCTCCCTCCTTCCTCGCCCCCTCCACCTCTTAAGTGTCTCCCTCCTCCTCCTCCTTCTTCCTCTTGCTCCTCCTCCATCTCCCTCCTCCTCCTCCTCCTAGCTCCTCCTCATCCTAGCTCCTCCTCGTCCTCCCCAATCCTCGCCTCATGTGTCCATCGTTCGTCTTGGGATCGGGGGCCGCCAGGGCCATGAGCGAGCGGGAATGGTGGCGAGGGTAACAGAGTATCTCGCAGAACGCGCCTAAAGCCTCATGGGCTGGTCGGGCTACTACACCGAGAGCTCCAAGGGCTGGGGGGGGGCCTAAGCCGACCGCTGAGGCGTGGGCTGCAGCCGTCAAGGCGATCGACGACGCTGGGGGGAAGTCCTGAGACTGTAATTGTTGCACTATCATATATATAGCCAGGCTTTTCGCAGAACATACAAGCACTGCGTGCTAAGTTTCGGCTAACACCTGGCTCTCGAGAACGGGCTGTCAGTCTGGAGGGGCGTGTCAAGAAAGAATGTATGTTTCTCGCTTCGTCGATTGCGCGCCCTCGTTCTGGAGCGCGTGCTGGCGTCTCCGTCCGTAGCCCATTTCGCTCAGACCTCGGGCTTTGCAGCGTCTGCCGCAGTTTCGGATGCAGCCGCCGCGGGCTGCTAAGCTGCGCAGGCTTAATGAGTTCCGTCGCTCCAAGCCTCACTGTACGGTTTCTGCTTTAGCGGCAATTCTGGCGGACGTGAGGGACAATGGGCTCCCAGAAGTCATAGATCGGAATTCCATGCGTGCCGCGAGGGATGCTGTTGCCACAACTGTCGGCCAGTACGGCCCTATAGTACAAAGCTTTACGTGCGTTGATGCAGAGGAAGAACCAGCTAGCATACCCATCGCCTGCCCGTTCGCATCCTTAGCGGCAGCTGCCGAAGAGAGCGCGAATTTTCGGAAGTTTTTGAAGCGCCAGCTGATGCTTCACCCATCGACGCCCGAAAAGCCATGGAACTTGATTTTGTATTCTGACGAAGTCACACCAGGGAACCCCTTATCACCAGCCAACCAGCGAAAATTCCAATCTATTTATTGGAGCTTCTTGGAATTCGGCGTGAGCGCGCTCAGTCACGAGGAGAGCTGGTTTGTGCTGATGGCTGAATTCTCCTGTTCTGTGAATTCCCTCTCTGCTGGGTTAAGCCAAGCATTCGCTGAGGCTATTAAATGTTGTTTCAAGCCTGATGGCTTTCATTTCCAATGCGGTGGAATGACCCTTGACTTAGACGGGGATAGCTTCAGGCTGTTTGCTAAAGTCGGCGTGGTGTTGCAAGACGGGGGCGCTCATAAAGCTGTTTGGCAAGCAAGGGGCGACGGCGCGTCCAAGTTTTGTATGCTTTGTAAGAATATGTTCACAGCCGACTCAAGGGTTGTTGACGAAGATGGCTCAGCCCTGCTGCGTTGCAACGAAATACATCTCGATGAGCTCGTGGCGTCCACTGACCATGAGCTTCGCACCAATGCCAGGTATCTGGAGCGCATGTCGCGGACTCTGTCTAATGAAGAGTTCGTTCTGTTGCAGCAAGCGCTGGGTTTAACATTTGCCAAACGAGGCTTGCTGCTCGATAGAGCCTTAGACAGGCTGATCAACCCAACAGAGGTGTTTATGCATGACTACATGCACGCGCTGTTCGTCGACGGTGTTGTGAATCTCGTGATCTACCTAACTTTCGAAGAGTTCATATCTGCTGGGCTTAATGGCGTATGGGAGTCATTCTCTGAGTTCTTGGCAACTTGGGTGTTCCCTGGAAGATTTCACGCTACGCATTTAGACAGCATTTTCAATGCTGATCGGAAAGATAAGCACAGAAAGGCCCAACACGTAAAATGCCAGGCGTCTGATTTATTGTCTATTCTTGGCGTTCTGATGCTATTCACTCAGACGGTCCTGCGACCTATGGGGGCAGCCAATGCAGCTTGCGACGCTATGATAGCTTGCGTTCAGCTGTCGCAGCTGGTAGTTGCAACCAGTCGGATCGACGTGAGCCCAGCGAGGCTTCTAGGTTGCGTTCATAAGTTCTTGGAATATTTCACTGCTGCTTTTGGATATGAGTCCCTGACACCAAAATGCCATTGGCTTCTCCACCTCCCTGAGCTACTCGAAAGAAACGGGAGGCTCTTGAACTGCTTCGTCCTTGAGAGGAAGCATAGAATGCCAAAGAGATACGCCACCGAACTGGCGAACATCTCTGGGTCAGCCAGCAAGTCGTTGCTGAGCGAATGCGTTGCCCATCACCTGTCAGCAATAACGAGCCACAGTTTCAATTATGGCGTCGGCTTGTTGCAGGGCCGCAAGGCGCCCAAGAAGAGCAGGCAGCTGATCTTGGACGCATTGGGTTTGGAAGGTGATGATATCCAAGTGAATGTGGGTAAAGATTCTCGCTTTAGCCAGCTCAGCTTATGCGCGCAAGGGGACGTTGTGCTTTTGAACGGCTCCGACGGCATACTTGCCGCCCGCGTGAAGTTGCATTTCGAGGTCAGTGGAGAAGCTGTTTCTATGATGGAGGTTATGGAACTTTCGCGGCGCATCCCTGGTACTGCAAAGGCAGTGTGGAAACTTTCTGCGACTCCAGTGGAGTGTTGGGAGACCAAAGCCATTTTGGCTGCAGTAGAACACTGCGCGTACGCAGACGGCACCGTCGGCACTATCCTGCCATTGGAGTTTTCATGATGGGATTTGCTGGCGCTTTGCGCTCAGGAGAAAAAATCGCATACGCTTCGCGTAGCCCCACCGCACAGCCCATCCAGAAACGATGTCTGCGCATTAAAGCCATTGCGGCTGAATGCAGATGAGAAATGAGGGGTGGTGGGTCTTCTGCTCCGCTCCTCCTCCTCATCATCATCATCCTTCTTGCTCCTTCTGCATCCTCCTCCTGCAGGCGCCTGCTGCTGCTGTCCTCCTCCTCCACCCCAAAGCGGCATGCTGAAACCGCGGGGCCCTGACGACGACCACGACGACAGATGGAGATGCAGAGACGACATTCGGCGGCGGACCTGGTGCTACGCGCCCGCCCCTATGTATGCGGTGTAACCTATGTGGATGCAACCTATGTGGTGTATTATGTGCTATGGTACAACCTATGTGGCGCATGCTAAGCGGTGCAACAACTTATGTAGTATGCGGTGCATCCTACGCGGTGCAACCTGCGTAGTGCAAGCTGCTGCGAGAAGTAACACAAGAACTTCTGATAGCATCGCATTTTTATGGCTTGTTAAAGCGAACGCTAAAGTTTATAAAGTTTATAACTCTGTTTTGGATAACTGCTGATAAACTTTATAAGTCCGCTAAACTTTAGCTAAACACTATAAACCTTAACAAACCAAGGATGCATCTCAGTGGGGCTCCCCCCCGGCCCGAAAAGGGATCCAAGGGGAGAGTTTCGCCATCACCGCGGAGAATAAGGAGGGGGAGGCTTCGCCATCGCCAGGACCACCCCCCGGGACCCCCCCCCACCCCCCACCCCCGCCCCGGGAATCTTAAGGGATCCAAGGGAAGGGTTTCGCCTTCACCTCCATGTCAACGACGTTACGTGGCGTAGTGGCTGGAGTGGATTGCTGCAGCAGGGATGGCGGCGACCACGCGGACGAGTGCGTCTCGCGGTCGGCGGCTTTTTGATCATCTCGGGGCACGTTTTGCACATTTTCAGTTCGTTTCGTCCAACGCCCCCCCTGCAGGGGGACAGGCCCGCCTCGATGCTGCGCGCTGCGGGCGCACCGTCCCGCTCCTCTGCGCCCCGAGGCTGCGCCACCCCGGCACCTGCCAGTGGGCGGGGGCCTCGCTGGCTCCGTCTCCCCCCCCCCCCCGGCCGCGGCACCGCCGCTGCGCGGCGCGCCTCGGCGCCCCGCCTCGGCCGCGCGTGCCGCGCGCCGCGCTCGGCTCGCCGCCTCTCCGCGTCGCTCTCGCCGCACCCGCGTCGCTCTCGCCCGCGGGCGGCTCGGCTGATCTCCGACCGTCAGCCCAGACACCCTCGAGTAATGAAAAAATCATGACGGGAGGTTTTTCGCAATTTTCGGCCCCTAGGGGCCCTCACCGGGCTTCGGGAGCGTCAAAAAACAACTCAGGATGACAAACCGGTCTTGGGGAATGGGTCTGGACCTCTGGGGGTCGCGTCATGAAAAAACATGACGTCGGGGGTCTGAGAGGAGGGACGAAAGCACACAGACACAATCCATCGACGACTCTCCAGACAAATGTGCGAACGGATGAGAAAGGGGGGGGGGGGGGAAGACGGACAGAGACCCCGAACCTGCAGGAAAAGAGGGGGGAGTGCTGTCGCTCGTGTGTATTTCTGTGCGTGTCCCTGGGCCCCTTCAAACAGGCGGATCCCGGTGCCCACGTCGCGTGGCCCGGGCCCGCCGCGCGCGTCGCGCTGCCCGGCTGTCTGCGCCTCGGCGCTGCGCGCGGGGCCGAGGCGCCACTTGCATGTGCGTTCTGTGCGTTCGCGCGCTGACGCGCTTCCCACGGCCCTCCCCCTCTCTCCGCCCGCCGCCTCCTCTGCACCACCCGACGCATTGCATCGTCATGCCGTTCTGATTCCAGCGTACACCTCCTTCTCCCCTCTCTCGTCTATTCTATTATCTTCTCTCTCGTCTCTCTCTCTCTCTGTCTCTCTGTCTCTCGTTATCCCCCTCTGTCTCTATCTTGCCGTGTCTACTCCAATGCCTTCTCCTCGGAAGAGCCACCCCATTTTTGTTTTAAGGGAGGAAAAACCACCCGGACCCGACAGTTGACGTTTACTAAACGGCCCCTGGGCGTTTACTAAACAGCCTTGCCCTGTGCGATTCCCTCTGTGGATGCGTTCACTCAACGGCTTCGCTTGTCAGGGAGATTCTTATGGGGGGGGATGTTATGCCCTCTACTTCTACTGTTGCCCCCCATAGTCTCCCGCCCAGGCGGATGACGGGGGAGAAGATCACTCTGATGAGCCCCGCCTGGCGCCGTCGGCTCTGCTGTTGTTGCCAGAGGTGCGCGCAGTGCCGGGACTCTGTAGACGCGCTACCGGTATGTTAGGTAGGCAACGGCGAAGCAGGATGGCCAAATTGTAGGAAGGCGTGGTCCGTGGCCAAGCCAACCGCAGGAACGCAAGGTTCGCGTTTTCCTACAACTCGCCGTGTCGCTTTCGCTCGATGCATTGGCACATGTGGAATGTAGGAGGTGGCGCGTGATGTCCTACAATTTGTTCTGCGCGAGCTCGGTGTCGCAAACACCAGACTCCCAACATCGCCGTTAGCGCGGCCTTGGAGACTGCAAGGAAGCAGGGGAACGAGAAGGAAGATGAGGAGGGGAAGTCTCAGTCAAAGCGCCTAGCAGAACATGTGAGCAATCGACGCCGCGGTAGAGGGAGAGGCGCCGGCACTCCCGATGCGGAAGAGGTGTGAGTCTCGGCGCGAGTGGCCGCACAGCTGTGAGCGCGGGCCTGTCCTCCCTCAGTGAAGCTACGGCTGCAGCCCTGGCCTCTGAATCCACTGCTTGGGGGAGGGTTGCGCTCGACGCCGACTATGAGAGCCGATACCGGTGAATGACGAGATCGCGATGACGAGTGAGCCGTGACGGTGAGCAATGTGCTGGCCGATAAGGTCGCGATGACGAAAGCTGGCGAATGATATGTCGAAGGAGTCAAAGGTGGGGATGTGAGAGAAACGGCGCTTGAACGGCGGAGCAGGGCCTTATCATCTTTCTGACGAGGGAGCGGCGTTGTTGTGATGTGCTCCTTGAATCGCGGCAAGGCTGAACGAGGTCAGTCTGGTCTGGACATTCTCAGCGCAGGCCGCTCCATAGGTTAGACAAACGAGAACATTTAGACTAGCGCACACGATCTTGCGACGGCGTTGCAGATTTGATGAACGAATGAAACAGCTACCCGTGTGCTCATCCCCGCTAGAGTGAGCAGTGGTGGTTGGAACACAAGGGGCCGCAAGCTGTTCTTTAGCGTGAGCGCACGCTGCATGTTGCTGAGAGGGGATACTGTCCATGGCGCCCACATCGCAGAGCGGATTTCGTTCGGAAAACGATAGGATGCGCCCCGAGTGTCCTGGATAATTTCGTTCCGTATTTCGAGGCGAGTTTCGTGCGGATTTTTTGGCCAGGAATGAAGACGAAAAAAAGTCCACGCGAAATTCACTTGGTTTTTCACCCGCCTTCTCGGGGTTTTGCATGGACAGAGAAATCCACGCAAGAATCCGCCGCAACACGTCTGCAGGGGTGGCGCGCGGATACCGTCGGGACGCTGCAAAGAAGGACCGCGTTGGGACCCGGGGGGGGCTCGGGTATGCGGGCAGTTTCGTAGATCTGGGCCAGGGGGCCTCTAGTCGGGGCGTTGACCTAAGGAACCCTAAATAAGGAACGAGGCCCCTTTTTCCCAGAAGTTAAACTTCGATTTCCAATCGAAATCCTAAGCAAAACCAAAGGCGAACTGCAAACCAACTAAGGAACACCGAGCCCCTCCCCAACGAAAAGGGATCCTTCCTCAGCGCCCCGACTGTACAGTGGAGGCCCGTGCCAAGGAACACCCTGCTTGTCTCTGGGGTGCCCTGGGCTTCTCGGGTTTCGATGGCTTCTCTGTGGAATGCGTGACGTTCCCACACCAAAAGATCAGGGGACGTCCTCGATTCTTAGGGTCGGGTTTCTTGTGGAGGTTTCTTATGGTCGGGCCTCCACCGTATGTGTGGCCGAGGCTCACCGTGGTCAGAGAAGCCCCTGTTGTTCCTTTCCTGGCGCTCCTGAATTGTAGCATGATGGCCGTAGACATCGCAGGCGCCTTGCTGCAGGATCCACAAGTGCATCCTTCAAGGTAGAGGTGCAGGCGTTGCCTAAACGAACTCATCATCATCATCATCATCATCATCATCATCATCATCATCATCATCATCATCATCAACATCAACATCAACATCAACATCATCAGCATCAACATCATCATCATCGGCATCATCATCATCAGCATCATCAGCATCATCAGCATCATCAGCATTACCATCATCGTCAACATGATCATCATCATCATCATTATCAGCAGCAGCAGCAGCATCATCAGCATCGCCCTTTTGTTCCTTACCTGGCGCTCCTCAATTGCAGCGCGGTGGCCGTAGACATCGCAGGCGCCCTGCTGCAGGATCCACACGTGCATCCCTCGGGGTATAATTAAGTCGGGCCTGCCCCTCTACAGGAGGCAGAGTCAAAAAGCAGTCATACTAGCAAGTCTGGTGACGATGTTCCGACCTAAAAAAAAACAAATGTTCGGATTTGTCTCGACTGTCTTAATTTCTTGGCCCAGAGCTCGCCTGTAGGAGGACATGCCCGACCCGAAAGTAGCAGAAGTGCAGACGTTGCGCAGACGCGGCCGGAGCCCCGCGAGAGGTGCGCCAGGGAGCCAGACGAGCCGCTCGAGCCGACGAGTCTGTTGCCCGAGGCGGTCGCGCCTCCTCCTCCTCCTCCTCCTCCTCCGACGACGACGACGACGACGACGACAAGGAGAAGGACGACAAGGAGAAGGACGACGAGGACGAGGACGAGGAGGACGAGGAGGAGGAGGAGGAGGAGGACGACGACGACGACGAGGACGACGAGGACGACGACGACGACGACGACGACGACGACGACAAGGACGACGAGGACGGCGACGACGGCGACGAGGACGGCGTGGACGGCGTGGACGGACGGACGGACGGACGGACGACGACGACGACGGACGACGGACGACGCACGACGCACGACGCACGACGCACGACGGACGACGGACGACGAGGCGGGCGGTCCCTAACGGGCGGGTGGCAGCGCTGCCGCCTCACAGCGCCTGCCCCATCGTGAGGGGGAGGGGCCGCAGGGCCTCTGGGTGTCCGAGGGCGGATGTGCTACAGTTGATGGGCCACTTTTCCACCACCGCTACCATAGGTAGGAGAGGGAGGAGGTGGAGGAGGAGGGGGAGGAGGAGGGGGAGGAGGAGGAGGAGGAGGACCTCCTCATCCTCCCTTCTCCCCCGTCCTGCATATGGTAGTGGTGGTAGAAACTTTGCCCATCAACAGAGGAGGCACATGCCAAGAAGCACCCTGCTTGCCTCCAGTGTGCCCTGGGTTGCCTGGGTCTCAATGGCTTTGCGACGGAAAGCGTGACGTGCCCAAACCAAACATCGATGGACGTCTTGGGGTCTCAGGGTTGAGTGTCTGGTGGGGCACACCTGGCGCACTCGGAGCACGTGGCGCATCTGGCGCACCAGGCGTGCTTGGCACGGTCGGGCCCCAGGGGTGCCTGGCGCGCGTGGCGCCCCTGGCGCGCCTGGCGCACCTCGCCCAAGCGTCGCGCACCTGGGGTCGGCTTTCTTTCCCAGCAACTGTCCATCCAAAGACGACCGCTGAACATGCTCAGCCTCGGGTGTGACTGATGAAGGTTTCTTGTGGTCGTCCCCCCACTGTACTATTCCGCCGGTTCTGGTCACGTTTAGTCTTTTGGTCCGCGGCCGCGTGACACAAGCGGCGCTCTAGCGACGGAGGGGGGCGCCTCCGGGGCGAGCCGGGGCGCTGCAGCAGGAGCGGCGGGAGGCGGAGGGGGCGCGGGGGGAGGGGAGGCCGCGCCCAGAACATGCAGTTTTTGTGCGCGAGTGCCGCCCCCCCCTCCTCCTCCTCCTCCTCCTCCTCCTCCTCCTCCTCTCCTCCTCCTCTCCTCCTTCTCCTCCTCCTCCTCCTCCTCCTCCTCCTCCTCCTCCGCCTCCTCCTCCTCCTCCTCCTCCTCCTCCTCCGTCGCGCGGGGGAGGGGCGGCCGCGCCCAGAACAGGGGCAGTCCTTGTGCGCTTGTGTCCCCCCGTCGACTTCGGCACACCACTCCACGGCTCGTCGTCGTCCTCCTCTCCTCATACTCCTTCCTCCTCCTTCCTCCTCCTCCTCCTCCCCTCCCCTCCTCCTCCTCGCGCGGGGAGGGCGGCCGCGCCCAGAACACGCAGTCCTTGTGCGCGAGTGCCGCCCCCCGTCCACTTCGGCACACCACTCACAGGCCTCGTCGTCCTCCTCTCCTCCTCCTCCTCCTCTTCCTCCTCCTTGTCCTCCTCCTCTTCCTCCTTCTCCTCCTCCTCCTCCTCCTCCTCCTCCTTCTCCTCGCGCGGGGGGAAGGGAGGCCGCGCCCAGAGCACGCAGTCCTTGTGTGCGAGTGCCGCCCCCCGTCCACTTCGGCACACCACTCACACCTCACACGGCTCGTCCTCCTCCTCCTCCTCCTCCTCCTCCTCCTCCTCCTCCTCCTCCTCCTCTCCCTCCTCCTTCTTCCTCCTCCTCCTCTTCCTCCTACTCCTCCTCCTTCTCGAGCGGGGGGAGGAGTGGCCGAGCCCAGAACACGCAGTTCTTATCCTCCTCATCCTCCTCCTCCTGTTCCTGTTCTTCCGCGCTTCACCGAGAGCTCGGGCATGAGATGGCTGGGTACCTTGGGTTATGATCCATTGGAGCGTATTGGGACCTTAAGAAGTTGTTTGATACTGTTGATCCTTGTCGCCTGGCTGGACTCGCCGCGAAGGTGAATTACCTCTTGTTCCTCTTGTATTTGGGAATTGTTTTGCATGAGGCTCACCGTATCCTTGAGGTCCAGGGGTTTTGTTCTGACCTCATCCCCACTGGGATGGGTATCCTGCCTGGTTGTGGCCAACCCATGCCGTGGATTAAAATCTATCTGTATGACATTCTGGACCAGGCACATGCGTCGTCCCAGCCAGTGCGCATCAAGGGCTATGTGGATGACACCACTCAGACGCAGCTAGGCACTTGCGAGGATATCCTCGCATCGTTCGTGCCTGCCGCAGTGTGTTTATGCCACCAGCTGGAAGCTGCCGGCACTTCCATCGCCGACAAAAGTACGCTAGTTTGTTCCCACACAGGTCTCGGAGCCGAGGCTATGCAGCGGTTCATGTCGGTCAACCTGCCTATCAAGTGGCGAACGTCGGTCCGAGATCTGGAGGTCGTGTCTTCCGCAGTCGTTCGTCGTGATGTGAGCAAGCTTCGGCATAGGCGAGCTGTCGCCTACCGAAAGAGTAAGAAGGTTCAGTTTCTTGCTCGGCTTGTTGGCCGAGCGAGCAAGTTGTACAAACCTGAGGTTCTGGCGGTCGGGTCGTGGGGCCATGAAGTCTTGGGGCTGACCCCTGGACAGGTCAAGTCTATGCGGGCTCAGGCCGCCACGTGCTCTGCGTTGTGGGCCCCTGGGTCGTGCACCACCACTCTCCTTTGGTTGTTGGGGGATGCGAAGGATGACCCCCAGTTTAGGCTTCGTCATGAGCAACTCAATGGATGGGCGATGGCTTGCGCTGAACTTGACCACGGAGCCCGCAGGTTGTGTGCTGACGTTTGGTATAATGTTTCCTCTAAGATGGATCACGCCAAGTACCGCTGGCAGATTGTCGAGGGGCCGATGCCGGCTACCATTGCTGTCCTTCGCGATCTAGGCTGGCAGGCCATGTCACCTGTGTATTGGCGCACGGAGGAGCATGATTTGAGGTTGCATGACGGAGGTTTCCCAGTTCTGCTTTGGGTTTCGCTCTTGAAAACTTGTTCCTCCTTGTCCCGGGACCAGGCCTCGAAGCACTTTTGCGGTGCTGGCCTTGAAAGAGGTGTTGATTTCACTCTTGTGCGTAGGTTTCTGTCTAAGTTCGCCCGTGACGGCGAGCATGAGTCAGCTGGGATCCTGCGAAATCTTATCATCGCGGGATCGTGGCCCGAGGATCGATTGTACATTGTTGGTTTTGTCTCTGCTAGCAGAGGACTGTGCGGCAGGTGTGGAGTCGCCCCGGAGACCACGTTGCATCGATGCCGGCAGTGTGAGTGTAATCGTGATATCCCTGATCACACTATCAAGATGACCGACCCCCTTTCCCCCAGGGCCATTGCCGAAGGTGAGAAAGTACGTTTCTGGTGTCGAGGTCTCCCGTCGTTGAGCGACTCCCTGGGCCTTCTTCCCCCGCCCCAGCGTCTTGTGCGGGATTGGGGGAGATGCATCGGAGGGGAGTTTATACGGCGGGGCGTCTGGGGAATTGATGGGTCAGGAGGTAAGCATTCTGGAGACTGGAGGCTCAGGGGATGTGCCTGGTCGTTCGTGCATTTTGGGCCAGACGGCAGGATCGACGCTACCAGGTGCGGGTCCCTCCCGAGCGCGCGTCAGTCTTCGCCGAGAGCCGAATTGTTTGCGCTCGTCAAGCTCTTGCGTGCTAGTATTGGAGATGTGCGTGTTTATTGTGACTGTCTCCTCGTTGTGAAGGGTGCCAGAAGGAGCCTCAGAGCTAAACGTAAATCTAGCATGCTCGACCTCTGTGCCGGATATCACCGTGTACTGTTCTGAACGATGGGGGTCGCTCCAAGTGATCTGGACCAAGGAACACCCAACCCAAGCAGGCCGATAGTATGTTTTTTGTCGTATGTTGAGACGTATTTGAACAGAGTTGCTGATCATTTCGCCGATTGGGCCGCTGAGAAGGCCCAGTTGAGCGAGGCTCACGTTTCTCAAGTTTTGCGTGCCGATGGTTTAGCAGTGCAAGTTTTGAAACGAATTCTGACCATCCAGCGCGAGATTTAGTTTTCCTCAGACCGAGAATGGGGTGGTCGCCGCGAGCTGCTGCGAACTCGTGGGCGAGCCACCTCCCTGTCGGAGCGTATTTGCAGATTGCGGGACGCAGGTCATGACCCTGACGACGTCTTGAAGGCCTGCATCAAGTGCAGGCGGTGTGGTCTAGGCTACAGTCTCAGAGGACAGCTCTCGGACTTTTGGCCCATGTCTTGCAAGCCCAGATGCATCAGCCAGCAACGCGTTCAGCTGCTGGGACCGCGGGAGGTGAGGGGAGACATGGGTCCCGACCCTGTCCCCGATTCCTTGGGGCCGTCGGATCTGTGGATCTGTGCGGGGGCGCCCTGGACCATCCCCTCGCTGACCGCTGTCACCACTCCCACCGACTGTCGGTCCTGAGGGGTGTCCTTTTTTTGCATTGTTTGTGGGGGACACTGTTCTGTTGCACCTCCCCGCATCCTGAAAGGAGAGCGCGGTGAAGCCTCGAGGACGGGGCGAGAGGTGCTGTTACGCCTTCAGAGGGGATTGCCACCAAAGTCTGGCACTTCGTTCCCCGACAGAGGCTGATTGTTGAATGAGCGGC